GCTCAACGAGACTTGCAAGGCCAACCTTCACGTACTTTGACTGACAAGCTGTCGCTGCATTTTCCGCAATACATCGTTCAGCTGTCGTGCCTATCACGTCCAACGCAATGATCGTGTCTACATGCACCCACTCCGAACATAAAACAAAGGCTGTGACAAGGAATAACATTTGCAAATCAAAACGCAAAATCAATTCGCGGCACAGCATAGCCATACTTGAAGCCGCACTTCCACGGAGTTTTTACTCGTCACAACGCCCGTTTCCTGTGGAATCGTGTTGCGACGCAAGAACATTACGGTGAACCCTTGTGATCATTCCCCTGGTATGTTGTTTGAATGTTGTCAGTGCAGTTGAAAATGTCTTTCTTGCGCTGCCCTGCCCCCCCTTAAAAGATCGAAAGTGTTGTTTACACCCAATCTGGCAAAAAGAAATCCTTGATCAACAAATCGAATTCTTGAAGCAAACGCAAAAACCGCACGACTCTTGCAAACAATGCTAATGTCTGCTCACTTCAGCATCCCGAAAAGATATGTAAAATAAAAATAAAAAATAAAAAACAAACAAACTTCCTCGATCCTGAACACATGGTTACGCAATGGCATTGCTCTGCTGCGAACAGTGTTTGACAAGCACCGCAACGGCAAAAAAGCATTCAAACATGCTGGCTTTCGCAAGTCAGTAAAAACATCTTCTTTTTGGCTACCATCACGCAACCCTCATGAACCCGCAGCAGGCCATCTGCCGCAACGACTCTTCAGAGTCAGGGCAGCCAGGCGCCAAAAAGGGTCACACAGTATGGATTCCGCTTTTCATCATGTCACGTGCCGCGTGACTGCACCCAAAATGTTGACATCGATACAATCAACCATCCATCACTGAGAGTGACCCCCAGCGCAAGCAGAAGTGCAGGACAAAGCCCCAAGCTCTGTTATATCGGTCTGAACGCCCTTGCTAACAACAAAGATGATATCGTTATCCGGCAAACTTTTCTCAACTGCATCTGTCTTTCCATTGACCATAGTCTCCAACAAGAATCGATCACAAACTGCCACAGCCGGCAAATCATCCTCATTCACATGAATTGCCACCAAATCCTGGCAAAAGAACACGCTTGCTTACATGTTCATTCATATCTCAAAGCAAAGCAAAGCTTTAATTGAATGGCACACCACTAAAGCAACAATGCCTTCTCTGCCGGTTTTTCGTCGTGATCTGGAACTTCAGGCACGTGAGCTTCAACAAGACTTTCCTCCAAGGCGCTCACCGAATAGCGCCACTTGCAAAGCTCAAAAGTACAAAAACATAGCAGCCATAACAAAAATCAATCCATAGATCAAAGCCTCCCTCCCAGCAACCCCAACCTGCTCCTCCAAATCAGCTTTAATCTGCTCATCTGCTTCAGGACACGTCATATAGCCTCGTTGATAAGCAAAATCCAAGCCCCTGTGATTGGCTCCGCCGCAAAAAGCTTCTCCAATAGTCACAGCCGCAGCATAACTTGTAAAGCGGTGCCAAGCAAGAGAATGTGCCTGCCGCTTGCCATGACACGGAACATACTTGCATACTCAAAGACCTAAAAACATACATATGTATATATATATAGACCGCATTTTACATACCATTTATATATATATGTAAACATACATCTGCATATGCTACAAATATACATACATACATACATACATACATACATGCATACATACATACATACATTAAAAAGTATATATATATATACCCATGTTGTTGGATCGAAAACCAAGCTCTCATGATGGCCTGCCTTCTTAGGATTCTCCTTCTGAAACTGGCACTTCCAGACGGGCAGCCATTGAGATGGAGCTTTTCGCGCTTTCCGCATGTTGCAACACTCGCGAGAAGCAATCAATAACAAAGCTTGTCTGATAACATGTCGCAAGATGGCGAGCTGTCCGTTTGGCAAGCTGCAACACTAAACCATGCGTCATTCATGATCTGAGCCGGCAAACTCATCGACGGCCCAGTGCAGCCAATGCAGCTTTCAAACTCGAAACACCAGAAATACAACAGAGCAACCACCTTGCGCGCATCAAAAAATTAATCGGCCCAGCATCCAGCCAGAGACAAGTGGGGGACAAGGGTGAAATCATGCGGCCAGAGCACTCAGAGCATCCAGAGCTTACTGGGAGACAAGTGGGAAACAAATGGGAGACAAATGGCAGACAAGTGTGAAATCATGCGGCCAGAGCACTATAGAGCACCAGAGCACTGAGAGCATCCAGAGCTTACTGGGAGACAAGTGGGAGACAAATGGGAGACAAGTATAAAATCATGCGGCCAGCGCACTCAGAGCATCCAGAGCTTATTGGGAGACAAGTGGGGAGACAAATGGGACACAAGTATAAAATCATGCGGCCAGAGCACTCAGAGCATCCAGAGCTTACTGGGAGACAAGTGCGGCCAGAGCACTCAGAGCATCCAGAGCTTACTGGGAGACAAGAGCTTACTGGGAGACCAGTGGGAGACAAGTGTGAAATCACGCGGCCAGAGCACTCAGAGCATCCAAAGCTTACTCGGAGACAAGTGGGAGACAAATGGGAGACGAGTGTGAAATCATGCGGCCAAGCACTCAGAGCATCCAGAGCTTACTGGGAGACAAGTGGGAGACAAATGGGGCAAGCCTGAAATCATGCGGCCAGAGCACTGAGAGCATCGAGAGCTTACTGGGAGACAACTGGGAAGACAAATGGGAGACAAGTATAAAATCATGCGGCCAGAGCACTGAGAGCATCCAGAGCTTACTGGGAGACAAGTGGGAGACAAGGGTGAAATCACGCGGCCAGGAACACAAGCCCGGAGACAAACTCAAAATCATCCGGCCCGAGCATGCACCCCTTTAAAAGAGTAAGAACCCCTCACAGGTAAACCTGTTTGGGGAAAAAGGGTTGATGTGATCCATTTGTAGCAGGTTTGGCGACCAAATCCGTTGTTGCTCAGGTTGGGCGAGCTGCGCAGTGCGGTGGCGTGCGGTGGCGCGCAAAAAATGCACAAACATGACAGGCTTTACGATGGAAAGCTGATGAGATTGGCGCGTTGAACCTGCGTCCAACGCCTAATGGCGGCTGGCCCTTGCCCAGTATGGATGCTGACATCACACGAACGCAGTCCCAAAAGCTCTCCCGTGCGTAGAAACCCACTAGAGGGTCACAGCGAAGATCACGCTTTTCTGCGGCCTTCCTCATCACGCTCCTCCTGATGCGAACCTCTGGATCGAGGCCTGCGTATTGGAATAGCTGTTTCAGCTCCTTCTTTCCTGAAACCTTCCAACCTTTGCCCTTCCTCTTTTTGTTGTCCTTCTCTTTTTTACCCAAACAGAACAGTTTACTGTTGGATTCTATCTTAGAAAGCCGCGCCCCTGAACTCTGGCTCTGTGGCTGGGCTCTGTGTCCAGGCCCAGTCCTCCTTTTGTCCTCCTCTTGGCCGGACCCTGAATTTTGTCAACTCTGTGGCTGGGCAGTGTGGCTGGGCTCTGTGGCGCGCCCTGACATACGCTCCAGAAAGCCGCGCTCACAGCGCGCTCTACAGAGAGAAAGACGGAGAAAGATAAACTTAAAGAGCGAGAGAGAGCAGGTGCTCTGGTCCTTGTCTTGGCCGCGCCTTGTGGACTCTGCGGCTGGTCTCTGTGGCCCGGCTTACTGGAGAGGAGTGTGGCCGAACAAATAGCGCCGACAAAAATTCATTGATGAAGCAGTTTGCTCTTGGTGTGAAAGTAGGGCGTACCAAGAAATCGATTGTTGACTAATGTTGGTCTAAGCCAATCGTTTTGAAGCTGTTTGGGGTCTATGCTTGTATAATCTTTTTATTTTTCTTCTCCTTGCTTGATTCGCTGCTGCTGGAACTGTGAACTGATCCGAGATCGCCCGGCAGGTTCCAACTTCCAACTCCCTTGCCTTTCACCTCTTCACCTCCTTGGCCCTGTGGTCGGACTCCTCTGCGCTTCTGGAGCACCTTGGCCTCTGCTGCGTCCTTCAAATTGCGGGCGCAACCCGGTGTCTCGAAGTCCAAACGCCGCAGGTTCTTGATGTGCACCAAATCGTCGGTCTGTGGACTGTTGCTGCATCCTTCGGGGCAAAGGTGACCTCGCACGACCCGATCGTCCTCTGCGGTCAGCCATTTGAGAAGCTGCTCGTCGCTCGTCCGAGGTTCCACTGAGTAATGGCCAGTCCAACCAATTCAGCAGCCAGCTCCATAGGCCTATCCCAAACAACTTCTGCCCCAACCAAGGCTCCCGTGGCAACGTCCTCTGCTGCTTCACCACCCGTCTACCCCTTCTCACGTCAACACCCGCTGCCGGCCTCTGTATTAAGGGCCATTCACCCCCTGGTCAGTGCTGCTTCTTGAAGGCCAAGTACTCTCCTGGAAGTTGTGCTGCCTCCCAACCTTGATCTGCTCCTCAAGGAGGGCCTGGACCTTGGGACCAACCGCGTCCCCGTCCCCTCCGCTTACGAGGTGGAGGATCCTTCTTGCGCTATCTCGCTTACGTCCTCGTCTCCTCTTGGCTCTTGTGCCTCCCGTTCGCACCTTCTCCGAGCAGGCCAGTGGAGGGATCAATCGCTGATCTCGCCCACCACGGCTCTGAGGCTCACCGACACAAAGTCCAGGTACCCAGAGATGTCCCAGTACACCGCAATGTGACGGATGAGCCGCCTCAATGTGGTGCACACCTTGCAGTCACAAGACGCCAGGTGGCACCACGTAGACATCAAGATTGAGCCGGAGCTGCGGGGGAAAAAGGTAAAAGGGGGTTCTCCTTTACTTACGGGGACGCAGCAGCGTATACAGTATTTTGTATTGCCGACACATTTTACTGTAGCACAATATGATAGGAGACAAGGTATAGTAGCACGTGCAAAGGAACACAACAACCCGTGCAAACGGCCTCAACAGCTGGCAAATGCTAGCAACTGCACAGATTCTACAGCCTTCTACAACTTGTAGAGAAGCGGTTGGCAAGTCCAAACGGGTCCTTTCGCGGCCATCAGTCTGACCCTTCCCTGGTCGCATTCAGATTAGCATGATTAGCACATTCTTGTATTGCATTGCAGTTTTTAGTGTAAGAGTGTCTCTACAAACGATATCATTTATGATCGGTGCCAAACAGTTGCTGCCTTGATTGACCCTGCAGAAACTGAACATAGCACGCAGCACCCTGGCAAGTTTTTGCGCTGGTCCTGACAATTTTCGTTCAACTCTAAGATTGTGCATGATTGTGCTTGTCATTTCTAGAATCCAAAAGATATCCGAATTATATTCTGAATGTGGTGCTATCGGTGTTCAAATTGTTCAAGCAACTTGAGACAAACATCGATTCGCAATGGTTCCTATGCACTTGTCAAGCGTGTTGATGCGAGAACTGTTGTACTGCAACAATTTGTTTCGGAAGTTCACCGGTGAACCGCGTAGCTGGACCCTTTTGTGTCAGTATGCTTCAATCAAGAATGCAAATCCATCGAAGACCAACACAAATTTTCTGGCCGTGTTGGACGAACTTTTATTGAATGCATGACTGTCAGCCACAGCACGAACCAACACTCATGGTGCCTTGATTTCAAGGTTGCAAAAACTCATGGATGGCAAGGGATGGCAGTCATAAGCTTTGAGGATGCTACATGCTAAGGCATTGAAGCACACTATGCCACAAAAAAACACTATTCCAGTTGCCAGGCCTTCACCTGGACTCACCTTTCGAAGGATTCTCAATTCAGGAGATCCTCCGTGCTTGAAAATTTTTGCAAACGCACCCTCACACCAAGCCACTGCCTTGCGGGAATCTGCCAAGATTCTGTAAGCCTACAAACACAATTCGCAAATCAGGTTAGGTGTAGCCCAACGCCCACCTTGGATCAGGATGGACCAACTCGCCCAGCACCTTGCTTCGGCTGTTAGGAGACAATCGCATTCAGCAGCATTCATTACAAACTCAACTGGCTTGTGGAAACATCATAAACGCCACACTTACTCTGGGTCACTGTGTAGAACCTGCCAAAACGCTGGAGCTGAATCAAGTAAAACCAGTCTAGCATGTTGCTTGATAAGCATGTGGATGCATTTTGTAATGTTGTAAAAAGCCTTAGATCCAAGGCTGCTCCCTAGCATGGAGATTGATGATCTTGTCCAAGTGCCAAACAAACTGTCTTTTTCAGCCAACCCCTCAAAAACTAAACTTTTGCACAACCTTATTTGCCCGCACAAGCCTCAAACAACAACTTTGGGGATCTTCGAATTTGGCAAGCAGTAGGCAGTAGCTTCCAAATACCTTTAAACCATGAAAAGTCTTGAGGGGCAACTTTAATCGACTCCCCAACTTTGAACCTCAAAACATGCAATTTTACTTCCTTGGTCACTTCCAGCAGCAACAACAACAAATCATAAATAATATCTTATAACATGCGGCTCTCTTCCTCATGCCCCTCCATGCAAAAACGCGCACACACACACACACAAGAAAAGAACAAGTTCTCTTGTGAATGCACAGTCCAAGGAGCTATTGTGAGCCTGCAGTGGCTGCAGGAGACGTTGAGTTGGGAAGGTTTGACAAACAGCACTCTGGGCCACAGGCTGTGACACAAGGCCGCGACGTGCCTCTACCAGCCTGCCAAAATCCATTCGCACTCCTAAGGTCCTATGTGTTGCAACTCCACAAGAGGGATTTTTCCATCAAGGTGCACATTGTGATATTGAAGAACACACACATGTATATATATATATATTTACATATTAATATTAAAATGTTGAATTGCTTCGTCTTCGGAGGTGCAGGATTCGGCCGGGTGACAGTTGTTCAATATTTCAGTCAAGACCTGCTTGTGGCTAGCAATACAGCCAGGCATGTCTGGCTCGTCACCCAAACCCTGCTCGCACACAAAATTAAGCACTCAACACATTTCATAACCACCCACAGTTTGACGGGCACTGGACCATGTTACTTGTTTGTCGCGCCACAGGGTGCAAAGCTGCTTTGGTGCATTGTAGGGATACCAAATTGTGTGGGACACCACACACAGAGCATGGACGTGGGGACGTGTTACTGCTAACACAACACTGCGCATCGCGCTGGAACACTCATACAGTCCAGAACACGCACTGCATTGCGTACCAAACCAAACCAACAGCTGGTATCTGGTGGAGACGCAAAACATAAACCTGGTTGGCCCCTCATGAAGTGAGCAATCCTGAGGCATTAGGCCAAACTGCAAAGGGGTGCCAGGTGAGCAGCACCCCAGCCATTCGCAGGCATCCGCACCCGTCCACAGCAATTGAACAATTGACCGGTGGTGAAGTGGTACATGTTTTCTTGGTGATGCAATCTGTTTATATAATATATTAGAACATACAAACGCCAACTGTCCAGATGGAATGGCGCAATGCGACTACATGGGCAATACTGGGGCTGGAACTTGGGCACCAAGAGCCGCTGGTCATTTGGGCCCGATGGAACAAGATTGCTAGGATTCATCGGGGGGACCTTTGTCGGAAGCAACTCATCGAGAAGTTGTTGGAGGGTTCAGAACAAGAATGGCTCCAAAGCTTTGCCACAAGCCAGCGCCAATATAGCATATCAATCTGAGAACGCATGACCGTTGGATCATGAGGGCAAACGCCATGACGGAAAGCTTTCGGGGCGTTGATCAAACAAGAAGTGCCGACTGGTGGCACTTGATGGAAACCGCCGGAAAAGCGTGTGGCAAGGCGGCCTGATGCAACAGCAAACTGGTTGAGTCTCTGCGCTTGCTTGGCCGCAGTCGTTTCCAAAAGTAGTGCGCAAGTGTGCCCGGCGATCAGGCGCGCAGCGTAAAGGCAGAGTGCATAGTGGACTTCGAGAAGGGGCTCGTTGGCAAGGTTGGTCGCAAAGGTTTTCCCAGCGACCAGCAAGGGGAAGGAGAGAGAAACCCAAGCACAAGTTGGTGAATACAGTGCTCATACACACAATCGTTGTCCCCTTGTATGTTGTCAACTCACTCGCTCTTCTTCCACCGAATCATCATAAATCAAGCATCCGACTTTGACTCCATTCTGGTCTGAATTAGGAAGCATCCCATCCACAACAATACAGTAAGGGAAGATGCGGTAAAAAGGTATGTGAGAACGAGGCCATGAGCTTCCGCCGGACGCGTGGAAACACAGTACTATTGGTCACAACTGATGTCTTGTCGCTTGGGCCTGCATCAATGCCCTTTCCAGCTGGGCGGTGCCTCAGACTTGCGATCCGTACAGAAATAGGTAGGTGTGCACGCATGTGTATGCAAATGTTTGCCCATTCAAAGGAGAGTGTATAGTGATGAGCGAATGCTGACAATTTCCTACGCCCCCAAACTACTTGCAGGGGATATGTATTTATATATAAACTGCTATATAATAGTATTGGTATGTGTGTCTCCATTCCTGTGGCAAAGCTATCCTTATCCTTCTGATTCCTGTGGCAAAGCTATCCTTCTGACACTGCTGATGAAATTGAATTCTGGTCTTCCCAAGTCTGAATTGAAGCACCGCGATATCATTTGTTGTAAAGAAAAGGAATCATGGAAGGTTGGCACCTTCCTTCAGTAATACTGAATACTCATACGCAGTCCCTCGGTGATAACCAGCCTGCAAACAAGCCTTATATCATTCGCCTAGCCTCAGACAGTATTCTGAGACTTTGCAAATTAGCCATGTTAAACCCCCCCAATGCAAACCCACAACCAGCCCCGGGACAACTTGGTCTCAATCATCACCTAACCCCCACTACAATCTCCATGGTGAAAAAAATATTTATGCAAGAAGGAACCGTGCGTGGTAACAATGTTGCACTGGATTATCAATAATTGGAAAAAGCAACAATTTGAAGTCCTCTTATACACGCCTTTTCTTGGCGCGTCTTGCGCCATCTCGTGTCTGGCAAGGCATACGCGTTTACGATTCTCCTCGCATCACTTCTTGCAACAGCAGTGTCACAAACATTCTCTGATGCACCTCCTAAACATCACCTTCGACGCCTGCGATATCCTGCAATCAGTGTCAGCATCCGCACAAACACAACCAGCCCCAAAGCAGCAACACTATTTAGCAACGCAGTATTGTTCTGAACTGTCATATATACATAAATTAAATATACTTTGTCGAATAAAGCTGCTCCTCACAATAAGTTAGTGCAAGTGCCGACCACTACGGTTAACCTCGCCAACTTGCGAACGAGTCTGAACGCGCCTCACAGCCCTTCCTCTGGTGGGGGCACTGGAGGTAACAAGTGAGCTGTGCTGGAAAGGCTTGATAAGCTCCTATGTTGTAAAACGTTGCTTACGCAGCACATAGGCTTTTCTTACGCGCTCCACAGGTTTTCTTACGTGGCATGTGGGGGGAAGTGGTTGCTTACGCCACCCTTACGCAGCCAAGCTTCGCAGACTTTTCGCGAATCCGCTGGGAACATGCTTGTGCGACGCGCTCTTTGTACAACGATGGGGCTTCAAGAGTGACTACTTGCAGAAGCATGCTTTCCTCCCCCCTTTGGCACGGACTCACGCAAACGCACTTTCCACTGAGGCCACGCGAAACCGCATGGCACAGCGACATCACAAAACGAATTTGGCCACACGTGTGCCACAGACTAGACACACCAATGCAACACCAAGCCTCGTGGACACCGCCAAGAGTTTCTCCTCCATGGACCTTTTTGGTGTTGGCATATGAGCAGAGCGGAAGCTTTTCTGAAGTGCGTATTTTTGGTGCAGGTGGCAAAAGGCTTTAGGTTTGGGCTGCCTACGCGGAGCTTACGCGCGCCTTACGCGGAAAATGCCTTGACTCTCCTCGATCTTTGTAAGGTTCCTGTTTCTAGGAATCATGTACCAATGAAAGCAGGCATTGACTAGGTTGAGCATCTCTTGTCTTAGTGGCTCGGTCTTCGCCCAAGAAAACCTAAGACCAAGTACCAGTAAACACAACAAACCTCCTCAACCAAAGCTGTTCACACATCAAACTGCAAAACAACAAACGCAAAAAACTTACGCGCACAAAAAGCTTACGCAACCTTGCGCACTGCAGAGTTTTCCTTACGCACCCAGCTCTTATGACCAGACCCTTACTCATTACAAACAAGTAGGTTTATGGCATGGCTCAAGTGAGAATTTGAGCATGCTAAGGTACACACACTGTACAGGGATCACTATGGTTGACCCGATGCCCTCCCACAAACACAAGGGTGCCCCCATCTTGGAACAAGATTCGGGGGCTTAAAGTCTGCCCACACTGAGGTAGAAGTAAACGCATGTGATCTGCCTGTACGATCTGCAAGGAGACCATAGCTTTAGCATGCTTTAGCTAGGGGGCGTGGCCTTTTTCTCCTAGCAAAACAACGTCGAGGGATTTGCGGCACAGATCGGAGTCATAGTGGATGAAGATCTCTCGTCAAACATTTTTTGGTGTTATATAATAAGGTAAAGGGATGTAAAGGAATAAAAATGAGGAGATCGGGGTGGGGAGGGGAGGACATCAAGCTACGGCGATGTTGTGTTCCGATTTAGCCATTCAAGATGGAACATATGAAAATGAGCATGTTGATCCTTTTTGCAATTTTAGGTTCCAGATAGGTGGTATCTCTGATGTATATATTTACTGTATACGGTCTCTGGTGTTGATGCTGCGCTGCAAAATGGGAACCGTTTTTGTTTGCACGACTTGCTGGCTGAGTCAACTAGGACTAGAACTGACTAGAACCTTGCTACTCACAGCTCCTTGTCCCGTAGAGGACGACGGGTGTTGAAAGCCGATGTAGATTAGGAATCAGGATGATTCAATTGGGAGAACACCACATGCAAAATGAACAGCGAATTAAGACCTAAGCCGTTTGGAAAGGAGGCTCGCATTCGAGTAATGATCTAATGCTGAAACTGTTTGCTCAGCGTTTGGGAGGATCGAGGGTGAGGAAACGCCAGCTGTTATGCTGTTCCCAAGTGCAGCATGCTGCGGGCACCTGTCTGCTGATTCAGTGGGATAAGTTTCGTTTTCGTTAATCTTTTCCGCCAAATATATAATGACAAGGCGGAAGTGTTCTGCTTGTCGTTGGAGTGAAGGTGTCATGGTGGCAGGATGGGCAGCAGCAATTTATGTAATGTTGACAGAGGATCAAGTAACCTTCCAGTATTGACCAAGCCCATCTCGAGCCTCCAAGATCATAACAACCAAAATTCCGCACTCACACCCCTCCAAGAGTTCTTTTCGATTCGCCAAGAAAACACTATTAATCAAGCCCATCCATCTGCCACCAGAAAACAGAAAAATACGCTGTAGCAAACTAACGAAGGACCTGGAGCACCGTCCACCATCACTTTCAGCCTTTTAAAGGACACACTTGTCACTAAAAACCCGTTCATCCATCATCAGAAAGATATCTATTCTCCAATACCTCCTATCTTTGCTATCTCAACCCTTGTTAACCTTGGGTTGCTTAATTCTTCGTCGACATTATATACAGCGAAAATAAAACTACCGGCTGCCGGCTCACACGAGCTTGTCCCATGATCATAAGCCATGCGGTGATGGTCACATTCACATGGGAGGCCGGCGCAATGTCGACATATGGATGGGTCAAAACCAGAAGACCTTGGTAACAAGACTTGCGGACACTCTCTGGGCGCTCCCCATGATTTTTTTTGGGGTGTTGTACCCGGGATTTGAAAGGGGTGAACAAAAAGATGGAAGTGGAAATCTAATTGAAAGTAACGACACAATGAATTAAGCAGGTGTCCGACCAAATCGAGCGAAAGACAAGATTAAAACTTGAAAGTATCACACAAGCATCACAAACTCTACGCCGAATGCACATGCAGGTGGTACATACATATCGTCTTGATTAACGACCTAATTCGGAAAGGGGTCTGGGATGCTCGCAAAAGGGCTGAGTCAACTGAAAGCTTCGTCTTTTGTGCCAGCCGAAGCTGCTGCCGATATTGCCTACACTTTTCATAATATCCTAACTTAGATCCGCAGTTGGAGCTGTGAGTGAAGAATCTGACAATGTTGCATCGGAACCACTTCGCTTAGGCGGTAAGGTGGTTTACATCCAAGACTAGAGGTGTACTCCACAAGGTTTTTGTTTTGGATGCTTTTGGTTGACCTACCTGGAAGGTCAAGCTACATTGCTACATGTTTTTGCAATTGTTCGACCCCATGCGCATGTCTTGAACGCATTTGCACGTGGCTTTGGATAGTCTTGCAGTGTTGCTTGTTGAAGTCTCCATTCAGTGTATGCTTTACACACTCGTTGACAAGTTTGCAGTTGAGCACCAGCTGGATTTTGCACGAATGCACCTGCAGGGCGATCCCTTATGTTTGCAGGCTGCCTGAACTGGGGATTATGCTTCTCCGAGTTGGAAGACAAACAGTGTCTCTACAGCCGTTAAACATGAGGGTATAACGAACAGCTGTGGGTCTTGCAGAAGAGCTGAAAAATCTGAAGTGCTATCGGGGGTGAGGTGTGTTTACGATTACCATTGCTGCTGTTGCCACCCACCCCCCTGGGTTTGTTGGAATGTGTTGCAGAGATCTGGGTTCCTTCAATGCATAAAACAGAGATGTGACCAGGTAGCTTTCTGGCCTTCGACATCTGTAACGTGTGTACAATTCCATTGCAGTACATTTTGTAACGCTCTGTTCGATCTTCCCAGCCAGGACGCCGCCCTTTTGAACATGCTAAGGCCCGGGGCATTCACTCGGAATTCAAATCCAGGCTGCATAAGCAGTGCTGATGTGTGTTTCAAAACCGTTCGGAATTCTTACGTTGAGCCGAATCCGCCTGTGACTTTAAAGTCTATTTGCAAACATGTCCTGGCGAGACAATGTTGTTGGACGAGGGCGAAACTGTTTCGAAAGGTCAGTCTGAACGTCGGACGTCGGCTGTGCGTTACATACACTGACGAGAGTATGTTGTGTTATCTACAGCAGAAAAGAGGAACATCTTCTGACGTACGTTCTTGAGATGCCATCTGGAGGCAAAGGATGGCAAAGGGCTTGATATGTCTGACATACATAAGCAACATGTGTCACAGGCTTGACCAAGTAGGCTTCAATCTGGGATTGCAAAGCGTCCGAGATCGGAGTCATGGATGAAGATCTCGCATCAGACCAGATATGATGTAAACATGTTCTGTCAGTCTGCGCTGTACGAGGGAACAATTTTAAAAGATCATCGCTTATGGCTGAAACACATCGAGCTTGTGCGACCTTTCGACACAGGAACGATTCTTTTTACTTTTGGACTCTGGACTATCTGGACTTGGACGGTATCGAGGTGACAGAAAGCAGATACATGCTGATGAAAAAGAACTGGCTCATGCAGGGGTCAAACGGAAGAGGACACGATCGAATATTGACAAGAGGAATAGTTCAAAGGCAATCAAGTAGCTCAACTATCTTTTAACATGGGAGTTGTGACATTGATTGACATTGCTACAGATTAGTTAGGGAGAGGAGAGGACCCTAATTGTAACTTATAATTTCCTAGTTTCCGAGGATGGAACATGTAATATTACTTTTGGGGGGAGCGTAAAACATTGTAATCTTACATTTACCACCCCGTGATTACATTCTTCCGATTGACATTTGCATGAAATACTAGAGGGGTAGCCCCCCCTCTACCACGCTCCGCAAATATAGCTAAGTTACATGTTCTTCTTTTGTCAGCCCACTTCCTGGAAAACGTAATATTACATGCTGAAGGCATGTTTGCAAGGGTTTGCATCTCGTTTTATGATATGTGATGGCTTCATTTCTTGCATAATTTGGCGCATCTGGTTTTTTTCCTACTCTACACCTGCTCTTCTAAATTTGATTTGTTAACACATATGATCTTATTATTAATCTACTTATAACTTATTACATGCCTTGCATACTTCGAACGCTGCCACAAAACTGTAATCGCGACCTTTGATGAAGTTGTAGAGCTTCGCGCGCCGGCGATGCCATATGGATCATTGTTTTGTGTCTCTGTTGTTGTTGTTGTGGTGGTGGTGGTTGCGCACGCGTACCTCCAAGAACACCATGTTTTAAGTCTGCTTCACTCTGCTTCTATCTGGTTGAAAAATGTTAACAATTACCTACTTTCACAAGTGGCGCCCGCAGCCGGCGCTATGTGTGAAAGTGAACATGTTTGTATGGGCAAAACCCGCGATCTGTTTGAACCTCGGCAAGCCTGAATCCAATCTCAATCACCTGAGCCACCAAACAAGGTAATTATTACGAGTTGTTGGCAGCGTTTTTTGCATTTGCTGGCCAGTTTTGGACACGGTATTACAGTTTTTCGTATGCATCTTTACTTCCCGTGCTTTCATATCTTGCCTTTCAATTTCTAGCTATATACATACCACTGTCTTAGAGACTTCCAAGTATGTATCTTACATTTTTGGAGGTGACACTTTCTTCTTGCCTTTCTGTAGTGTTCTTATCTTTCCCTTTGTGGACCTTTCTTCCTTTTCCTTCCTTGCCTTCTTTCTTTCTTTATAATATATATAGTGGTTGGTCAAAATTCTTTCTTGCTGGAAGGCCGTTCTTCGCGAAAAATGAATAACTTTCGCGAATTTTTCGCGAACTCCATGTTTAACTTTCGCGGGGGGTATATCCTCTAGAAATCTTCTTGGTTTAGTGGTTCTACATAGCAGCCTAAGCACTTCCATCAAGCACCACTTTGGAGCTGCAGACGAGGTTGAGGTGTTACAAGGAAGATTGGCGAGAACTCTAAAACACCACCATTGGATGAATCAGCAGAACTGGTGGAGGATGAGCTGGAAGGGCTATCAATGGTTGCTGCGCTCATGTCTTGCTAGGTCTGTCGCTGCTTGGCTTGGGCAGGGGTCCACAAAACAGACCTTCACATTCGCCTACTATGCTTTCGCAGAACTTTCGCGAATCTTTCGCCAAAAATGTCGCGTCCTTGGTGGGTTTCTAGGCGCAAAGCGCAACAACCAGTGGCAGCAGCAGCAGCAGGAGGAGGAGTAGTAGTAGGCAGTGGTCGTGGTAGTGGTAGTGGCAGTAGCAGTAGTAGGAGTAGTAGTCGTTGTCGTCGTTAGTAGTAGTAGTAGTAGTAGCAGTAGTAGCAGTCGTCGTCGTAGTAGTAGTCGTCGTCGTAGTAGTCGTAGTCGTAGTCGTGGTCGTGGTCGTAGTGGTAGTAGTAGTAGTCGTCGTCGTCGTAGTAGTGGCAGTGGCAGTGGCAGTGGCAGTGGCAGGAGCAGGAGCAGCAGCAGCAGCAGCAGCAGCAGCAGCAGCAGCAGCAGTAGGAGTAGGAGTAGGACTAGGAGTAGGAGTAGTAGTAGTAGTCGTCGTAGTCGTCGTCGTAGTAGTCGTCGTCGTCGTAGTCGTATAGTCGTAGTAGTAGTAGTAGCAGTAGTAGTAGTAGTAGTGGTAGTAGTAGTAGTTGCTGTTGTTGTTGCTGCTCACACAGCACTGTTGCAAATGACTGATGATGGTAACGCCTCTTCATGTATACTATATATAAATATAGTACAATAGACTCTTTCGCAGATCTTTCGCCAAAAAAATTAACTTTCGTGAATTCGAGAAAAAACTTTCGCGGACAACTTGAAGAGGCTCTCAGTGGCATAGGCCTTATGTCGAGCTTTCGATCGACTACCATATAGTAATGTAGTTCTGACTTTCTTTCTTTCTTTGCCTTCTTTCTTTCTTCTTAGATACTATTGGACCCTAAGGCCATCACCCGGTTCCTGAACGAGCCGCTTGTGAGAATCATTTTCTGCATTTTACTGCTGGTTTCTTTCTTTTCTGTTTGTCTTCTTTCCTTCTGAGTCACCATTTGACCAAGGGGGCCGGGCCTTGCATGGACACTTTATCTAGTTTTGATATGCTGCTTGCCAATTTCTGGGTACATACCGCTGCTTTAGAGGCCTCCAAAAAATGTAGCTTACACGCTGAGAAACATTTATATACTGGATTTTACTGTGGTGTCTTTCTTTTCTTTATGTCTCCCCTCCTTATGAGTCTCCGTTTGACCATACGGGCCTTGCGTGGACACTTTACTGACGGTTTTTCCCGTGTGCTAGGTACATACCACTGTTTTAGAGGCTCCGGGTGCTTTCTGCACGCCTTCGCGCGTTTCTTTCCTTTTTCCTTTCGACATTTCTTCAGGTTCTTTTCTTTTCTTTCTTTCTCTTTATCTCTCTTCCTAATACCATTGGGCGCTAAGGGCACTACCCAGTTCCTGACCGAGCTGCTCATGAGACACATTTACTGCATTGTTTTTTATTTTATTTTTTGTCTTCCTTCCTTCTCACGTACCGCTTGGCTGTAGGGGCTTTGCATGGCCACTTCATTGACTGCTTTTCTCGTATGCATCTTCTGTTCTCTAGTGTTCAAATGTTGCGTTTCAATTTCTAGGCACATACCACTGTTTTAGAGGAGTCCAAAAATGTAGCTTACATTTTTCACATGTTTCTTTTCTTCATGTCTTTATTTCTTTCTTTCTTTCTTTCTTCCTAGATACCATTGGACCCTCGGGCCATCACCGGGTACCTGACCGAGCTGCTTGTGGGAAACATTTACTGAATTTGATACCTGGGACATTCCATGTTACATTTTATGATGCCCCTGTTTGATGAGTGGGGGTGGTCAACAAATGTACGTAACTTGCGGAAGCTTGACGCTTCGTATAGCTTGCTTTCTCTCATCGCTTCTCAAAACTGCTCGCCTTCTTTTCGCTAGGCAGGCCCCCACGATAAATAGTGACACATATATAAAGAAAAGAAATGAACGTAATTACAATGTCCCACAAATACGTGGGAGGGGGGTCAAGTTACATTACATTTCTTTTATACAGGCATGGGGGCTGGCCAAAAATGCAACTTACATTATGGGTCCCCCTATTCCCGTTTTGATTGTTAAAGGGGTGGCGATGTTGTGACAACATGTCCTTGGTGCAGTGGCCCCCCTCTCCTTGCAGATCACAGTTGGAATCGTTAGACACCACAGGATGTCATTGTTGGTACCCGCCACCCTTACTCGTTTTGGATATAAATACCCTCTGTGCGGGCGGTCTGCAAAGCGACCGAAGCGAGTGGAATAAAACAAACAAGCAAAAAGCAAAGGAACAAAGGACAAAATCGCCTTGAACAAACGATATAAAATTAAAATACAAACGATTTGCTGGGAAGACTCAGGGAATGACAAGGTGAGACAAAGGTATGACACATCATTTGAAACAAGTCTATGCGTGCCCAAGAATCCCCAACGAGGACGAGGGGCATTAGCAAGTCATCGTGGAAAATACAACTATAACTATAGTAAAAGCCTTGGGACGGGAGGGAGGAGGAAGGAAGCCCAAGCAGGCCAAACATCCTGGAACAGGATCCAAGTGGGGAGGCGGTGAGACGGTGAGACAAGTATAGGACTAAGACTAAGATGGACTAAGTAGGGAGATGGGAGACAGGGGCAGAATTCCTGGTTGCCGCAGAATCATTTCGATGCAAGACTTGACAAATCTTGACAACCTCAACCAACACCAGAGCTGTTTGGAGAAAACGGATGAACAAGAATAGAGGGACCACAGGTGACAGTCCATAAAAACTGGCCAAAGAGGGGAGACAATCTTGGGATATATCCTGGGAAAAAATCATTTGTGGGATGAATTGCAACAGTAACAGGTTTCAAGAACTATCTGCAAGCCTTTGTCAACCGTTGTACTTGTAGTTTCCTACTTGCGCACAATGTTGCCAAACAACAACCCCTAAATATGAACGACTCCTTTCGGCCAGGCTTGGAGTGGAACGTTCACTCGATAGTGGCTGGTCGTTCAAATCAGAAACCTGAAGAGCCAAACCCAGCATAGAACGAGCAATGTTCTGCACCGGTCATGGAAGCCTCAAACGCACCCATGACCACGCCGTCATCCATCGTTTCCAGCCAACCTCGCCTTGGCCCACAATTGTCAGAGAAACTGCTCCGAGTGGAGGCGTTGTAGCCAGTTTGCGCCAGGTTGCACAAGTTTCACTTCTTGCATCCGGAAGGTCTCTGAAACCACTGGAAGCCTGGCAACAGTGAACTCGTTACGGCAGCGGTGCGAAACAGTGTGGTCATTTTAGGTTTTCTGACAGTAGGGGTTAAGGCTGGGTTTGATCGAGGGTGCTCAAGGGCGGCGGTGGCTAATTTGCAGCTATTTACGGCACATTCACATTCATGCCTCTTGAGATTTTCAACATGCATTTTGACGGCAAAAACTTGCTGAGACTGCTGGCCGAGCGGGTGCTTTCTTCGACCCCGAAGTATTGTTGCACGAAAACTTTGTTTTGCATCTCGAACGTGTCTTTGGGAGTCACTTTGCGAACCTTGAAACACAGATTTCATGGCAGGTGCAGCGCTTTGTGAACCTTGTGAAGTTTGAAGTGCAATTGTGAACCTTGTGAACCACTCTGTGCGGCTCGAATCGCGTTTGTGAACCTTGAAGTGATTTCGTGGCAGCCGGCTCTCACTGTGTGCTCACGTATTAGCCTGTGTGTGCTCTCTCGTGTGTGTCCTCTCATATGTGTGTTCTCACCTGTGTGCTTTCACATGCGATTGTTTGTTTTTTACCAGCGCTCTCATATTCATGCTGCTCTCGTGCTCTCACGTGCGTGCTCACATATGCGTGCCCCTTCCAGATGTGTGCACAAAGGCGCGTGCTCTCATGCGCACGCCACTCAACCCTGTGCCCCTATATGATGCGCTCTCATGCGTTTGCTCACATTTGTGTGCTCTCTTATGTGTGTTGTCACATGTGTGCTCTCTCACGCGTCCCCTCATATATGTTTGCTCTCATGACCGTGTGCTCGCGGGCTTTGTCATACGTGTTGTGAACTTGTTTGCGCTCCCACGTCCATGGTTCCGTGGCAACCCTCGCTCTTAGCTGCGCGCAAACTGTGTTGGTCGAAATCGAAGTGCGTGTCAGCTCTCCAGACTTAGGGCTGGAGCTCAGTCAGAGTCTCTGGTTTACAAGGACCAGGTGTATATTCAGGACAAGATGCATGAAGATCTACTGTACTGGTCGTTGTCGTCGATGCTCACGGCCAAATGCAGCGTGCCACGTCCGCCGGCATGCACGCAAGTGCACGGACTCTTGGCTGAGAAAAACTTAGCAACAGCAACAACAACAACAGCCAGAGCCACACCCACACCCACACCCACACCCAACAACAACAACAACAACAACAACAACAAGGTACAAACAAAAACTGCAGCCCCGTTACAAGATATCTTGTTCCTTTGTCTCTACAAGGGGGTGGAAACAAAATCTGCAACCCCGTCGTTGTTATTTTGAACCCCCGCCCCCCGAAAACAACCAGCCAACATGTACTTTTACCAGTAGTGGTAGTGCTTGTACTAGTGCTAGTACTAGTGGTACTAGTACTAACAGTAGTCGTTGTTGTAGTGGTCGCAGCAGTAGTAGTAGTAGTAGTAGTAGTAGGAGTAGCAGTAGCAGTAGCATTAGCAGTAGTAGGAGTGGTGGTGGTAGTGGTAGTGGTAGTGGTAGTGGCAGCAGCAGCAGCAGCAGGAGTAGTAGTAGTAGTAGTCGTCGTGGTGGTGGTGGTGGTAGTCCGGTCAGCTAAGCCTCTGTAAAACTTCTACTTAGAGCCTCTACCAAATCCTAGAGACAAAAACTGCAGCCCCGTTGTTGTTTTTTTGAACCCCCCCCCCTCAGAAGATGTTGTTGTCTCTACCCCCCCTAGAAACAAAATCTGCAGCCCGTTGTTGTTTTTGACCCCCCCCCTCCAGAACAACATCCCAAAAAACAAGAAACATACCAACCAAGACTTGAGTACCACAACGACAAGAAGTCCAGCTACTAACATCTCTCCAAACCTTCGACCCTATCCCTAACAGTGCCCCTTTGAAATCCCTGACTTGCAACATGTGACAACTATGTTGGGCAGCTGTGTTTGTCTCTACCAACAACAGCAACAACAACAACAAGTCTCACCTGTTTGCCCCTGTCGCCTGCCACTGAAGGCCCTGCTGGCCCACTGTTGGGCGTAAGCCCCTTAAATTATAGAACGCAATCCTGTCTCACTCTGGCGTGTTACCCCATCTATTGGGCCGACTGTGCGAACTAGACTAGGCCCGGAGCAAAAAAAGGTGCGAGAGCCTTCCGTCTCTTCAACCTTGTTTCGGAGACCTGGTGTGTCATGTATATAACCAGCCAAGGAGCAGCTGGGGTTGGTCTGGCACATGGCTGAGTAGTACGAGCGCATTTTCTCCTCAAGCAGTGCATTCACAGCAATGTGTTGAATGGGACAGGTACAAGCCACTTGCCTGACCCGGTTGTCACCACCACAGCGGTGCCCTCGTTCTCCAAACCTCATGATATAACTAACCCAAAAATTCGACAGTTCATGACAGCTCATCGTTTCAAAGCGTGTGAGAAGAAACATTGTACTGACCATTGAGACGTATTTCAGGAACGCTTCGCATGAAAGCAGTGGGTGAGATCCGAAAAAGTCTCACACGCTGGCGATACTCTCTTGGAAGTTCAAAATGTCCTGAAGCTTACATACGGAAAACGTCAAAGGGATGCAAGTAGCCATAGCCAAGACATCATGCGCAAAAAACAACAAACAAGCATCGAAGATGTTGCATGGCTTTGCGTGGCCAATATCTAAAATATTCTGAGACTTGAAGACGAGTGCAACCAGTGCAAGGTTGAAATCGGCAAAGTGGTTCACAAGAGCGAATCAATCAGGCTCTGGCTGCTGGTTAACTTCTCACCAAACACCTCGTACTCCCCAGCAACGGCTTCAAGCTAAAAGGTGTAGGCAAGCAGCCATGAAGTGAAACTTTTGACTTCAGGCTTGCGCTGTCATTCAGCGTGGAAACTAAAAAGCCCCACATCTACATTGTAATTAAGCGTAGTGGACGGTGTCTGGCTAAAGCAGCTCTGCATGGCTAGATTCCAGATCTACGATGAAGGGCTTTAGGTGTACGCAGAAACAAGGACCCTCCAAACGCCAAACTGCGGCATGCACCAAGGGCGAAAACGAAATTAGAGCCAGCAAAACCACAGGAACTCGCGGACTTGCACTTAGTCCGTATGTTTCAATAACTTCCATCATGTACGTGTGTGGAGAAGTACACGAAACAGAAGGAACGATCTCAGCCCCGGTGCCCTGCTCCAAAGTGGTAGCGCCCGGCCCGTTGTTCTGGTTGGAATAGCCCAAAGCAAACCAGGCCCTATTTATCGTGCAATCGTCTTCTGCCCTTTTCATGTTCCACTCACCACTCATGAAGGCTTAGCTTACGATGCCCCGACTTTCTGGTAAGTTGCTTTTTGATTTGTGGGGACCGCAATGCACTCGCAACTATTCGTGCCGCTACACGGCTGGGTCCGCCCGCACTGGAGAGATACCTGATTGTATCAGCAAGTTTTTTTTGTCGTACTGGTGTCCCACCGTCTAGCCAGCTGTTTCTTTTGCTTCTAGGTGTCTTGGCTGGACTGGCCCTATTGGCCTTGAGAAAAGTGTATTTTCAGGCTCAACCACTAAAATACAGTCAAATTCCGCTAAGCTGCAACTGCTAGCGCTCCTTTTTGTCGCGATGAGCTGCGTGCTTGAGCCAAGAATTGGCATAGTGCGTAAAAGCTTAGCATTAGGTGATGCATTTCAACACCCCCCTCTGCTTTCGCAAGCGACGCGCGAATTAGCAGCTATGATCGGGCTAAGCTGTGACGCCAGCGTGGATCTTCTTTTAAAGACCACTCTATGGCTCACGCTTCTGATGCATGCATGCAGCTCGAATTTAGTAGGATCGCCAGCTCCCAGTCGACCACCGACCGTACTGGTCACGCGTCCACCATTGCCCTTGGTAGTAGGCGTAGTACCCCCAGCGATCGCCATCACGATACTCTCGGGCACCAGCGTGAGCTGTGCGGAGAGCTCCCTCTCTTGCGTCTCTCGCAGGAACGGACTTCGATGTTGTGGTAGATGCTGGCGAAGGAATCGGTGGCGTCTTCGGTGCAGGTGGGCGCTGCATGGTAGTCGGTGGACCCGGTGGGAATTTTGCCGTTGGCATCTGGCGAATATCGATCGGGCCAATCGCGTTATAGCCAGCGCTTGGTGAGCTCTCACCTTCTGGATCGGCTGTCGGGGCAACCCTTTGGCTGGGTGCGGCCTTTGGCGGAGTTCGTGGGGCAGCAACGTGAGCTCTGCTTGCCTTTCCACGACCCTTGGCCGCATTCCTTTCAGCCGCCCGCTCGCTCTGTTGACGCTTGTTTTGCACAAGCTGTTGAGCAACTGGTAGGGAGCTGTCAATGGTTTCATGAAGCTCTCTCAAGGATGGTGTCTCGATGATCTCCATGACGCAGGTAAAGGTCAACAGATTGGTTCCTTTGCCACGGGTCTTGCGGCGATCGCAGAGATCCTGGAATTCCTTGAGGGAATAGAGCTCACGCTTCCAGATGATCACCCAATGAGAGTGTTCAAAGCGTTCCAACAGACCTGGGTCACTGCTGGTAATGTCCGCGATGTCTTCATCAACGTACATCAATTTTGCAAAATCCAGGTCATTTGCGGTCCGCATTCCCACTCCAAGATCAACCTGAGCACGGGTGCGTGGGGGCGTAGGAAGATGACCATGTGCCACTATGTCTCGCAGCTGGATATCGAGCAATGTAATGTTGTGCTCGGTCATCCGTTCCACGAACTGCACGTCGTTCTCATAGTGGTCAGCCATCGAAGTATATCCCAGGCCGAGGGCTCTCTTCAACTGCTGTCTTGCAGTTCCGATGTAATCGCCTTCAGGGCTGCGATTACCTCGGGCAGATTCCTCGCGGAACTGCTTGCTCTGGCTACCCATCCTCTCGATGGTGTCGGCGTCAAGATACTTGTAGCCGAGCTTGTTGAGCAGCTCCTTTCTCTTCGCGAGGATGCCACGCTTCACCTCAGATGTGCCAGTGATGTTTGTGTTGCGTGCAGGACACACGATCGTGCCGCTGATGAGGTTTGCACCGCATCCTGGACACATGACTTCCTCAGTAGGGATGTTTTCCCGCTGGGCTTCCTGAGGCGCTCTGGGGTAATGACCTCCACGTCTTCTTCAGCCTCTGGCTCTTCAGCTGCAGGGCGCTCCCTCTTTTGGGTCGGTACCGGTTCCATGACGACATCTGCGCTTCCAGAAGAACTTGCCGCTGGTGCGGTAGTGGGCACTCCCTCGCGGGAGGCTGGCGGCGCCTTTGGGATAGCTCTTGTCGCATTGGACCTCGACCAGAGGATAATGTCCTTCTCGGTATCCCGGATATGGACAATATATGCGCTCGAAATGTTGTAGGGTGACAACACAGCACCTGATTTGGTCGTGAAACAGACCAGGCCATCGGCTACTGCCTCACGCAGAGCAACCACAACCTCAATCGGATTGAGCCTCCGATTTCCGGGTACCACTTCATTCTGGCGGATCTGATTTCGCGCCAGATATATGTGGGCTCTGCCGGGCTCCACCGCCAACAAGCAGGCCGTCTTGCTGAATCCCCTTGATTGCAGCATGAAACGTCCTGTGAAAGGCCATGGCGGGGACGTCCTCGATGCTCTCCATGACGGGCACGCCGGCGCCGCGAAAGTCGGAGAGATCTCTGCCGGCGTCCTGATGCCTGACGTAAATAACGTCGGCGTTGAAGAACAAGTCATTCTCCGATTGAATGAACGTGTTGCTGTGGCCTGTGGCTGCCCTTATCTTCAGTGGCCAGTAAGTCTGGTTGATCCCTGTGGCTTTCTGATGGCCTGCAATTGCGAGGAACTCGAACCTGTTCTTGTTGTCCAACTTTCCCATGTGCATCAGGTCCGTCACTTTCATGCGGGCTTCGGGCAACTCAGTGAAGAGTGCGCTGACGAACTGGTTCAGATCCAAGAACCGATCATCGTCAAACTCCGAATCCCAATCATGCGTAGTGATGTTTCCTCGCAAAATGCCAGACGCCCTCGTGAGATGGCTTTTCAACCATTGTGGAAGACGGTACCACCTCGGTGGAGGGCTAAAGTCCCAGCCGCTGATGAGGATGAGCTCATAGGGATGGCCATCGACTACCACTCGAGGCACAATCTTGCCATGCACATCTTCCACCGCGGTGTACCGATACTCGGCCTGACCTGTCAGGTGGTGGTTGGTGATGTACGTCTCCTCGAACTGGCTGTCGATGAGCATCGTCTCCCACTGCTCCTTAGTGATGCGTCCTGCACGAGTGTTCTCCCTCTTGGGAGCAGATGATGCTGAGGGCAATGCTTCTGCTTTTGGGCTAGCCGATGAAGGCTGCGCTGACTGCGCAGCTTCGGCCTCCGGCGCAGGCTCCTCTTCATCATCACTTTCCTCTTTCACTGCAGTGCGGGCGATTGTCACTGGCAGAGCGTCATCATCATCCATCGGCTCTACTGTCTTGGCGGCCACCGCGATTGGAAGCTCCATGATTTCATCCTCTTCCATGTGCTCGTCGAGGTCTGGTTGCTCACGGCGAACCTCTTCGACGGTCAGTGGCCTTGAGGCGGCTTCAATGCGCTTCCTGTTTTCCTCTCTTCGGTGGATCACATCGATGACAGCTTGTCGGTATTCATCGCTGGCTGGTGTGAACGGGCTGAGACTTGCGTCTAGCACCCTCAAGTCTCTTTTGCCGTTCCGCCGATTGGCTTCGATCGTCCCGGGCAAATGGGGCGAGAGAATGGCCGATAGGTGAAGGATGTAAAAGTTGGCATTAAACCAGCTTAGAACTCGTGATTGATTTTTGTCACAAAGCGTCATGTGAAATTGATCCTTCAACTCCATCTGCCACAAAAGAGGGTCGAGATTGACGATCACGACGTCCGGTTCCTCAAAAGTCTGTCGGAACCAAAGCTTGATATCCTCGCCGAAGTGCTGGTAAATGCCATGCAACTCGTAGATGCTCGCATTTGCATTGCATCCAGCTTTCCGACCCTGCTCGACATACCAGGTCAAGTGCCTTTTGGTGTCGGCTTGGATTTTGATAGGGTCGCCCTTTGCCTCTGTATAGGGATATCTGTTTGTAGACACGATCCCGTTCTCGCCCACAAGCTCATTGCCGGCCCATACCACGTTCACGTAGATCCGTGCATCGGGCACATCCTTGCGGATGGCTCTTGCGCAAATGATCGCGCGCTTGACGAGCGTCCGCAGCTCAGCGCCCCAATGCACCTCGCGGCGAAATTGCAGTACGCGCCGGCATCGATTGTCATGAAAAGCTCGCTCCAAATCATGACGTTCACGGGTCTTCTTTCCGCCTGACACCATGGCCAGTGTACTGTCGCTGATCAGCACTTGGTACACTGGGCCTGTCACTGCTGACGGCGGGCGATGATAAGCTAGGCTGCTTCGCTTAGCCTCAATGAATGGGTTCAGGATATGTTGAACACATTCGTAGCTTTCACGCCACGTGTCGACAACGGATTGCGCCGTGTGGTCATGAGCCAAACCAAGGGCCATTTCCTGGGCTCCTTGGTCCTGACCAACGTCAGAGAAAATGGAGCTCGTCAGCAGCCGCTGAAATAGTGTGTCCCACCCACGAAGAATGTCCAACTGGTGCTCGGAGAAGTGACGTTCCGGCTGGGCCATGGTAGGTGATGGATAGCAAGCGGCTGCACGAATAGGCTTGGGCCGTGTGAGCTCTACGGTACGCGAACGAAATGCATCATGCAACATGTCAGTCAGCTCAAATGTGTACCCCTCAGCAAGTTTTAAGGATTTACCTCTTGACTGTTCATGTACATGGCTTCCCTTGCA